AAGTGTAAAGTGCAAAGTCTGAGTGGAGGGATCTTCTGGCCTATTTCTTCTGGGTCTGTTTCGGCATCACAGCAAAGTCATGGGCACAAACTCACTTGATAAAGCTGACACTGCTCCAAGCAGCATGGTTCCCATGCACACAGGCGTACGGTGGAGGCCATTCAAAACCAGCTGGGATGTCGTCTGGTTTGCATTGGCTCTCTTCCCGGGCTCTCACATGTGACTTCTTTGTTGCACACAATGACAGTGACAAAACAAAAGCACTCAGGGATTTAGTCTCAGTTGCATCTGTTGCTTTGCTCATTGTCTTAATTTAATGACGCGGGCCACCTGACAATGGGTGGCAAGTGGAGGCATGTTAGAAGCAGCCGTCGGAGCTGGCACCCACCTTCAACGCACTTCTTGAAGGGGTTATGAAACTGTCCCACATTCAGCCAAGCAAAAACGTTTCACTTCAACAGCTTGTCCAAGACAAACAAACCAGCTGAAACTGTTTCTAGTATGTAACTAGACAGATTTTTGAAAGGAAAACAGTAGTGAGTAAATACTGTTTCCTATTGACACCAGGGAAGGTAAGATTATTTACAAAAAAATTGCTGGTCCTTTAGTTCACTGGGGTTGGTTGAGGAAATATACCCTCTGAAGGAAGGGTTAACCAACTCACGAGGAAATAGGTTTGATAGGGGTTAATTTGTGATATACTTTATTACACAGTGTGTACTGTACACAGGTATTTAGGAAGCTGGAAAATGCCCTGAAGGGGTCATTCATATTCCCCCGTTATCTCTTAGCACATCCTAGCTCTTGTTTTTTCCCAAAGGAAAGCTATCCACAAACTTTTGGATTAAGATTGCTGAGAGCTAATGACAATGGCAATACTAGTAATCTTGATTAAAATTTGCACACACTTTACAGTATACACAGTAGTCTCGGTGAACCCTCCCAACAACCTTGTGAGATGATGTTGTTTGCATCTGTCTCATTCACAATCTGAGGCTCCCTAAGATTTAATGACTTGCTTGAGGTCCCATAGGAACAAATCAATAGACCTAGAACTAATAGGAAAATAATTTATTATTTTAATAAAAGAATAGCAATTCTACCACTTGAACATTTGTACGTTCTGGACACTGTATTATAAGGTGCTAATTGTATACATTCTCTTATGTAATTCTCATAGTTCTCTTGGAGATGGGTACTAGTGCCTCGCCCATTTTACCTTTATGGAATATGAAGCTTATAAAAGCTAAACAACTTTCCTAATTTCTTACAGTGAAGACGTGACCACGGTTGGAATTTGTATCAGTCCCTTCTGATTCTGGGGGTCACCAGTTAGCCACTCTGCCATACTGCCTCTCTAAGAGGTAAGACAATATCTGGTGCCTCAAAATCCAAATCTCTTTCCAGTAACGATAACTGATAATGTCATGAGCTGCCCATGATCCCAAATGGTGGTAGATGCTGGTTTGGAGGGTAAGGCAAGACTCTAGGGAAGTGGGTGCCCTCCCTTATCACATGTGAGCTGACTCCTGTTTTTACGGTTAGTGATAGAGGTCTAGTAGCACAGCATTCATTTAACAAAAGCTAACCCTGTGGATGTTATAAGCTCTTATTTTCTCCCTGCCTATCTTTATGAGATTTTGCCCAAGAGACAGAATCTAAAAGAAGGATGATAATAGGCCCTTTACATTTTAGGGAGGGAGCAGTGATGTTTTCAGTAGACTCTGTTTCCATCTCCACCCACTGAAAACAAGTTAAGTATTGTATGACATAAACTCTAAGAGAAGACTGGCACCGTATAAAAAAGGCTAGGCAAGTACTGTCCATCATGGAATGTTAGCAGCCTGTTGTACAGCATAAAGTTCTAACTGAGCATTGACCTTCTCCTTAACAGGGCAAAATGGATAAAAGAAAGAGCAGTGGATGACTGAAGAGATGGCCCAGATGTCAGCTCTTTACCTGTTGAAAAGGATGTGCTCTAGCTATTTTTCTGGCTTGGCCTGGAGACACGTGAAATCATAGAGGATGATTTAGATGTCTCAACATCAACTTTGATGTCTTGTTATTTCGGGGGATTACAAGTTCAAATTCCAGGAGAGTGAGGTCAGTTTTTCATCTCTGGGAGCCAAGCAGAGTGAGTGTCATGCAATCAACTCAGTGCTTTGGGATGTGACTTTTCAAACCAAAGGACAAAGTGCACTTTTCAAGAGATGTATGCTCCTGGTGGAGTAACTGCCTGTGTAACAAAGTGAGAGATGTATAGTCTGGGCAGTGTTGGTCTGCTCAACCTCTTATTTACTTATTTTTTCTGGAAAGACCTCATCCTATCTTTTATGTGGTTATAGTGGGAATGCACATTTTTTCCAATATGATTGTCTCCTCTGGCCATAGTGGATGGGCCTGACGCACCCCTCCCATAGCTCAAGAAGAGTATGGTGGGGAAACCAAGGCAGACCCAATTTCTGGGAAACACAAGATTCTTTTATTGGCCAGCTTTGGCTCAAGGGCTCCGCAGTGGCTTTGCTGAAC